AAGAGGCCTCCCTTCAGGTATCGTTTGGGTTCCCCGTGAGCCATGGAGCCAGCAAGGAGAGGTCGACCTCCAACTTGAGTTTTGGGATCCCTGTTCTCAGATCATGTCCGAAACTGTCTATGTGGGGGTGTCTTGTTCGAGGGCGTTGTGTTTGAGGAAGGGACACCAGAAAAACTACTTGATCATTTCCGAAGGGCCCTGTGTGAGCCAATCCGCTACAGTCTCTGGCCAGCAAAAGGCTCTAACGGCCAAGGGAGCCCCCAGGCTTTAACCCGGCGACTCGCGATGGCGCGACTCATTGAAAATAATTGAAACCTGCTGATGAGCTGATGATTTTTACTGAAACCTGGGTAGAGCACAATGAGACCTACTTGGCGACCTCTAACCGAACGCCTCTAAAACCAAAACCAAAGCTGCAAATGAGACGCAAAAAACACTGTCTTGTGCTTGGCAGCCTCCCATTTTTGGCTCAAAAAATGGCCAGCTCATTTGCTCATCCCCCGAAACGACGGTAGCTTGCCAGTTGAGTGTGGCACTCTCAGCCCTGGTCCTTGCAGCGGGTTACAGCGAAACCTGCACTCTGTGCGCTGTATCCTGCGAGTCAGCGACAGCGAAAGCCGTCCCGAGGTCGTTGGGGCAAAGTGGAGGACAGTAGCACGACTCCAACTGGGACCACATCTGGATGATGTTCAGGACAAACCACCAGAAACCCAACCAAATTCAGGGTCTGTGTTTGGAACTTCCAGATCAAGACAAGACAAATGAAAAGCAGTCTTCGGTGAACTCGGGCGGTCGGGGTTGGACCGTTAACCATTTTTCAAGTTGTTTAAACATCTCCGGGTACCCTCAAACAGGCCGCGCCTTTTTGTCGATACCCTTTTCGGGGGTATAGGGAATCCCAGCGCCAACCATTTTGGGACGGTTCCCCACCCCAAGATTCGCTGGCCGTTTTGCCTTCCCGTCCTTGCCCAAGTAGCAGCGCTTCGATGCGTGCACGGCCGCAGAGGTGTCCTCCGCTTCAGGGGCGGCTTTGGTTCAGGGTCTTGGGGAAGGATTGGGGTCGGTTTAAGGTTGACTTAGATGTAAGGTAGGCGGTAGGTTTCTGGTAGGTTGATGGTAAGTTTAGGGTCAGTGAAGGGTGGGTTTAGGGAAGGTTGATATAGATTTGGCGCCGATTTAGGGTGAGTTTAGGGTCGGTTCAGGGTAGGTTTAGCATGGGGGTGAAAAAAAAGGAAGGGAAGAGGGGGGGTCGAAAAAGGGAGGGGGTCAAAAAAAGGGAGCCCACCGACCAAGCAATCCATCAACCAGACAAAGCCAGCCAGCCCAGACCTGCTAGGGTACCGGGTCTAGTGTTCTTAGGGTGTCTGAAAAAACATATATATATATATATATATGAGGGTTGTTCTATATTCCTTGCTCCCAAAAAAGCCACAAGGGGGTTTTGGTCGATCCTGTATGGCCATGGGTCAAAATCCCGTACCCCCAGTGAACATCCCAATCCCCACTAAAATAGGCAACCTAAAATGGGTGGTGAATTCACCTGCCAACCAAAATGGGATCAACCAAAACGGAAAACAAAAACACAACAGCCATCTCTTGGTTTCCTTCGGGTCCGTCCCGCGTCCTGGTCCGGCTCCGGCTCCGGCTCCGGCGCCTCCGGCCACCATAAGGAGCGGGCCTCCGCGATGTAGCGCTGCAAAGCCTCCGGGTTCCCCTCCTCAGTGCAGCTCGAGCCGCGCGCGAGTGGGAAAATCCGAGTCGCCAGGAATTCCTGGGAGGAGTCAGCCAACCTGGGAACCCACCATTGCCTGGGGGGGAACATCCAGTGATTTCTGGGGGGTGATCCTTAGGGTGCATCTTGTAAGGAAACCTGCTCAAGGGAGCATGTCATTGGAAGCCACCAGATGCATTGCAGCCTGGGGGGGGGGGGGCAATTCAGTCATTTCTGGAGGGAAATGTGAGCAGCGCTCGAGATTTGTTTGCTGCCGACTACGGTAACTGTAAAGACGACATTGGGGCAGGCTGCACGCTCACCAACTGGGGTCCTTTCCTCGCCAGTATCTCATGTCAGTGCCTTGCTGGTTGAAAAGGGGTTCCTTCGCTTGGGATTTTGTGAATGAACCCTTTGAAATGCCCTTTCTGCCTTTTTGGGGAAGGCTTCCCTTTGCAATCGGCTACCAACAAAGGGCACCCTGGAAATTCACCGGCGGCACTCACAAATCTCGGGCGCTCACATTTCCCTCCAGAAATGACTGAATTGCCCCCCCCCCAGGCTGCAATGCATCTGGTGGCTTCCAATGACATGCTCCCTTGAGCAGGTTTCCTTACAAGATGCACCCTAAGGATCATGACCCCCAGAAATGCAGACTCCCCAACCCCCTGCCATGGAGAACCCCAACAACTTCTGACCCCCAAATCCTCCTCAACCCGGGCAAACCGTTGAATCCCCAAGTCGACAAGGCTGAACCATGCTGAAGCATTCGCGTCCCAGTGGGGCAAAAAGATGTTTTCGCCTTTCGAAACCAATCGTTCAAGCTGACTTTTTGAGAAAGGGGGCCTTTGAAACCAATGGCTCCAGAAATACCATCAAGATTGCGTCCATGTTCAAGAGTTTACTGGCCCGGCAAGTCCATCCACAAGGGTCTCCAACCTGGGACCCGGTTTGGTGGCAACTCGCTTAACAGCTCTGGTGAATTATCATATTTCACAAGCCTGAAATCAGGTGGTTGGGGGGCTATTCCCCACATAAACCACCATTTGGGGTGAGGTCGTTATAAATCAAACCCAGACAGCTGATGCTGGTGGACGCTGCAGAAGAGCCGCCACCATTTTCTGAAACTCGCTCATCCTCTTCGCCGCATGCTCCTCCGAGCCAGGCTGAGGCTGCACCGAGACGAGGCTTCCCCCCAGTCTCTGAAACTGCTTCATCATCTTCGCCGCGTACTTCCCCGAGGGCAGATAAGCAGAGACGAGGCTGCCGCGGCGCGCGCAGTCTGCCGCCACTTTCGAGCGCAACATCTTCGCATACGCATCCGAAGCGGGAGGCGGGGCGAGGCTTCCGCGCATGGGCTCGGTGCGAGTGACTTTCTGTCGGCGCCTATGAGCCGGACGGCAGACTTGCGGAAGACTGGAGCCGCATGTCGGGACTTGTCGGACCCTTCTTCACAAGGAAGCCAACAGAAAAGCCCGCCAAAACTGGCGGGTGAGTTCCCCCATGTTGACAATATACCTACATGGCCATAGGTCAAAAGCCAAATCATGCCCCCAGTGACATCCCAATCCCCACTAAAATCGGAAGCCTTAAAATGGGTGGTGAATTCACCTACCAACCAAAATGGTATCCCAAAACGGTTGAAAAACACCACAGCCACATGGCTGCTTCGGCTGCTCCGAGGTCTCCGAACCCAGAAGAACAAGATCGCGCTGGAGACGAGCGGATATGCTACTGCCCATCGGGACCGGTAGCAAGTTGCAATTGGTGGGTTCATCAACCAGAATTCCCTTTCTTGAAATTGATGATCAGGGGTTCTGGTTGATGATTCGGGGTTCTGGTTGATGATCAGGGGGTATGGTTGATGATTCGGGGTTCTGGTTGATGATCAGGGGGTATGGTTGATGATCAGGGGGTATGGTTGATGATCAGGGGTTCTGGTTGATGATCAGGGGTTCTGGTTGATGATCAGGGGTTCTGGTTGATGATCAGGGGTTCTGGTTGATGATCAGGGGTTCTGGTTGATGAATCGGCGTGTCTCGAATTGAACAAATATATGTCTCTCTCTCTCTCTCGCTCTCTCTCTTCACAGAAGTTCTGTTTTGCGCATAACTGCGGGGGACTTTTGACGCAGAACCTCTCGGCTCAAAACCCAAAGCGACGCGCTCTTGGATGGTCCCAAGAAAGGGAAAGGCCCTGGAGGCCAAGACTTAAATCATAACCAAAAGGAGGACCCCCACCCCCAAATATATATATATATATATTGTTAAAAAAAAAAAACACCTTCCTACCGGATTCGTGCCTTCACGTTTCCGTGCCCAACGCGTTTGGCCCTTTTGCCCGGTTTAGCAACCGCTATCCCCCCGAAGGGCGTTCCTGCCCTGTGGACTTCAATGTAACCCATGCGTTTGGGCGGCGGAACATCGAGTTTTGGTTCTGCAGGTTGAAAGCCGGCACAACGCGCTGGGAGTGGATCTTCATGATTGGACCCCCTCCGTTCTTAAAACCGGTCGGAGCTTGAAATCCCCACCGAGTTTTCAATTCCACCGAGAAGGGTCCCTGGCTAAACATCACACCCTGTACCATTGCTACCTGGAAGGAAAGGGAACTGTAGGCGGAACTGAAGGCAGGACCCGTTTCCCGATGCGCGCAAGTGCCAAGAGAAACCAGCATTTCAGTGGCCGGAACGACGGTTCAGGCTGGTCCCTTTTTGGTGGTCAAAAACACGCTTCATGCTTCCGGCGTGTCTATTGCCCAAGTGAAAACTGCAATGAGGTCTCTAGCAGGCAACCTTTCGTCAAGCTCGCCTCTGAACCGTCTTCCCGAGTGTTCAAGGCAGCTCAAGTCGAGGCAACGTCACGAGTGGTCTTTGATCCCTTGCAAAAAGTTAAACCTTCAGTGAAGCATGAATCCAGAATCCCAAATTATAAAATTGGTAGACATCCAAAAGTCTAAGAGTATACACATGTCTAGTCTATGAGTCTAATATGATGGGGAACCACCAAATCATACGGTGTTCAAGGCATTAACTCGAGGCTAACTGGTGGGATTTCTCTTTCCTTTTGACAAGCCAAAGCGGGGGCTGACAGTTGTCCGAAACACCATGTACAGAGGACACCTTCTTGTAACCTCTGCGAATCACACCTGCAAATGTCCGGGCCACGCAAACACACAACAAATCAATCCCCCCACCAGCCCCCCCCCTCCAAGACCCCCCCACCAGCCCCACCAGCCCCACCAGACCCCCACCCCACCAGCCGCCCCCCCCCCCCCCCGACCCCTCACTGTCCTGGCGCACAAGCGCGGGCTCTCTGGCGCCATGCTGCACAAAAGCACCGCAGGATCTTCCACCTTCGATTCCTTTTTCCGGCACCGGAAAAACCGAGCGATACGACCTGGGAACGGGACAGGTCGTGTCTGGAGCCAAAATGCGCAGCGGTCGGCATGTGACAAAGAGACAAACCCGAGAGCACTGCCAGCTCGGTGGGAACGAACTGTGACTTGGGTTGGCAGGATTCGAGCCCCCGTTCCTCTAACCAAGCGGAAAGGATTGAGGCACACCTGACCGCGAAGCGAAGCACTAAACAGGAGTGAAACGACCCCCAGTGAATATGAGAACGAACTGTCCAACCATTCCCACCAAGCACCCAACAAAGGTCGTAAGGTGATTTTCAGAACGAGCCAGCTTGTTCTGGCGTGACGCTCGCCTGAAGCTCAGAGCAAGTGCCACAAGTCTCGGTGCCTTCCAATTCAAGCAAACTGGGAGTTCCGGAAATTCACTGCCCGTTGGTTTACTTGGAATCACCTACGCCAAAATAAGCAATCCCCGAAGGGACCTTCATCCTGCGGTCGCTTCAAAACAACGCAAAATGGGTCCCTCTTAAGATACCATCTGAATTAAGTGCCCATGCTAAGCTGTACATGCGAATCTGGAAAGACTTATGATCCTCTCTAAAAACAAATTGCACACATGCTCCGCGACAAGTGGTTCCGTGGTCGCTGAAAGCAATTGCTTGATAGAATATTGACCTCTTCTGAGTATCGATGGAGTCTTACTCACTTCAAGCACTTCAAGTTGTGCAAGTTGAAGCCCAAAATCACAAATGGGTACAGTATGTGTCGAAATAGGGGACCCAAATTGGGGGTCTCCAGTTGGTTCCCAAAGCACAACCCCAAATTCAGCCAATTCGCACCGGGCAATGACCTAGCTAGTGCCCCTCCACCTCGACCCTCGGCTTTCCAAATCAGCCACCGTAGTTTCAATTGCACTAGACCGGCCCAAAGGGTCAAAAGCCAAGCTACCAAAAAGCACATTCAGCACAAAAGCTACCAAGAAGCTAACAAGAGGCTACCAAGCTACCAAGAAGCTACCGCTATTAGAACGTTATCAAGAAGCTCCCAAGAAGCTACCGAGAAGCTGCCAAGAAGCTGCCAAGAAGCTGCCAAGAAGCTACCAAGACGCTACCAAGAAGCTACCAAGAAGCTACCGCTATTAGAACGTTATCAAGAAGCTCCCAAGAAGCTACCGAGAAGCTGCCAAGACGCTGCCAAGAAGCTACCAAGAAGCTACCAAGACGCTACCAAGAAGCTACCAAGAAGCTACCAAGAAGCTACCAAGAAGCTACCAAGAAGCTACCAACAAGCTACCAAGACGCTACCAAGAAGCTCCCAACAAGCTACCAAGAAGCTGCCAAGAAGCTACCGAGAAGCTACCAAGAAGCTGCCAAGAAGCTACCGAGAAGCTACCAAGAGGCTACGAAGAAGCTGCCAAGAAGCTGCCAAGAAGCTACCAACAAGCTACCAAGACACCACCAAGAAGCTCCCAAGAAGCTGCCAAGAAGCTGCCAAGAAGCTACCGAGAAGCTGCCAAGAAGCTACCAAGAAGCTGCCAAGAAGCTGCCAAGAAGCTACCAAGAAGCTCCCCAGAAGCTGCCAAGAAGCTACCAAAAAGCTACCGAGAAGCTACCAAGAAGCTACCAAGAACCTGCCGAGAAGCTACCAAGAAGCTACCGAGAAGCTACCAAGAAGCTACCAAGAAGCTACCAAGAAGCTACCAAGAAGCTACCAAGAAGCTACCAAGAAGCTACCAAGAAGCTACCAAGAAGCTGCCAAGAAGCTGCCAAGAAGCTACCAACAAGCTACCAAGACGCTACCAAGAAGCTCCCAAGAAGCTACCAATAAGCTGCCAAGAAGCTACCGAGAAGCTACCAAGAAGCTACGAAGAAGCTACGAAGAAGCTACCAAGAAGCTACCAAGAAGCTGCCAACAAGCTACCAAGACGCTACCAAGAAGCTACCAAGAAGCTACCAAGAAGCTGCCAAGAAGCTACCGAAAAGCTACCAAGAAGCTACCAAGAAGCTGCCGAGCTACCAAGAAGCTACCAAGAAGCTGCCAAGAAGCTACCAAGAAGCTGCCAAGAAGCTACCAAGAAGCTACCAACAAGCTACCAAGACGCTACCAAGAAGCTCCCAACAAGCTACCAAGAAGCTGCCAAGAAGCTACCGAGAAGCTACCAAGAAGCTGCCAAGAAGCTATCGAGAAGCTACCAAGAAGCTACGAAGAAGCTGCCAAGAAGCTGCCAAGAAGCTACCAACAAGCTACCAAGACGCCACCAAGAAGCTCCCAAGAAGCTGCCAAGAAGCTGCCAAGAAGCTACCGAGAAGCTGCCAAGAAGCTACCAAGAAGCTCCCAAGAAGCTACCAAGAAGCTGCCAAGAAGCTACCGAGAAGCTACCAAGAAGCTACGAAGAAGCTACGAAGAAGCTACCAAGAAGCTACCAAGAAGCTGCC